TCAAACTCAGATATCTTCAAGCCTCTGCCTTTGTAGTGCTGGGATTAAAGGTGTGCCCCACCACACCCAGTTCTAAGCTTTTCTTTAGTTCATTTTCACAAATTGGAAGCATATCTGGGTAGGATCTTGCCCCAAAGCCACCCTCCCTTTATTCCATTTCTTAATCTGTTTATCTCCTTGAACACAGAATTTAGCTCCATTCCATTTTCTGGTGGTCCTTTTCTCCTCAAAGCAAGTGGTGACAGTCATTTTAATATCTGACATTATATAGATTTCAAACCAAAACTAATCCAAAGAGACGGGGAAAGACACCACATACACATCAAAGAAAAAATCCACTAAGAAAACATTTCAGTTCTTAGCATCTATGCCCCAAACATAATGGTATTCAAGTTTGTAAAAGAAACACTACTACAGCTTAAATCACATAGTGACCCACGTACATTTTAAGTGGGAGACTTCAATATCCCACTCTCACCAACTGGTCGTCAGACAAAAACTACACAGAAATACTGGAGCTAACAGACATTATAAAACAAATGGACTTAACAGCTATTTACAGAACATTTCACCCAAACACAAAGACTATACCTTCTTCTCAGTACCTCATGGAACTTTGTCCAAAACTGACCACATACTCTGATACAAAGCAAATCTCAATAGCTATAGGAAAAGTGAAATAACTCTCTGCATCCTGTGAGATCACCACAGATTAAAGATTGATATCAACAATAAGAGAAATAACAGAAAGCTTATAAACTTATGGAAACTGATCAACTCTCTGCTGAATGAAAAATGGGTAAAGACAGAAAAAAGAAATTTAAGATTTTGTAGAAATGAATGAAAATGAATACATAATATACCCAAATTTATGGAACACAATGAAAATGGTGCCTACATAAAAAAATCTAGAGAGATCTCCCATTAGCAACTTAACAGAACTCTTGAAAGCTCTAGAACAAAAAGAAACAAGCTAACTGTAGAGGAGTAGAGGGCAGAAAATAGTAAAACTGAGAGTTGAAATCAATAAAATAGAACTAAACAAAGAATCAATGAAAGAAAGACTTGGCTCTTTGAAAAAAAAATCATTAAGATTGATAAACCTGGCCGGGCAGTGATAGTGCATGCCTTTGATCCCAGCACTTGGGAGGCAGAGGCAGGCAGATCCCTATGAGTTCAAGACTAGCCTGGGCTGCAGAGTGAGTTCCAGGAATGGCGCAAAGCTACACAAAGAAATCTTTTCTCAAAAAACAAACAAACAAACAAACAAACAAAAAAACAGAAAAGATTGATAAACCTTTATCCAGATTAATTAAAAGGCATAAAACATATCCAAATTAACAAAATCAGAAATGAAAAGGAGGACATGACCACAGACATGAAGAAGGTCTGAGAATCATAATGACATAATTTCAAAACCTGTACTCTGCCAAATGTTCTTAATAAGTACCACTTATCAAAGTTAAATCAAGATCATATAAACGATGTAAACAGACCTTAATTCCCCTAAAGGAAGCAGTCATTAAAAGTCTCCCAATCAAACAACAAACAAATAAAAACCACTCAGGGCTATTGATTTTAGTGGGGGAATTCTACCAGACTTTCAAAGAAGCATTAATACTAATACTCCTCAAATTATTCTGCAAAAGAGAAGAAACCTTGCCCAGTTCATTTTATGAGGACACAGTTATGCCCACACCACATAAGACCCAATAAAGAAGGAGAATTACAGGCCAATTTCCCTTATGAACATAGATACAAAAATACTCAATAAAATACTGGCAAACCAAATCCAAGAACACATCAAAACGATCATCCAACATGATCAAGCAGACTTCATCTCAGGGATGAGGGCAATATATAAAAATCAATAAATGTAATCCACCATATAAACAAACTGAGAGGAAAAAAAAAACTACATCTCATTAGATTCAGAAACGGCCTTTGACAAAATCCAATGCCCCTTCATTATAAAAGTCCTGAAGATCCTGGAGGTGATGGTACACACCTTTAATCTCAGCAATTGGGAGGCAGATATCTGTGAGTTCCAGGACAGCCTGGTCTACATTGTGAGTTCCAGGGCAGCCACAGCTGGAAATCCTGTTTTGAAAAAAATAAAACAAAACAAAAAAATAAAAATAAAAATAAATAAATAAATAAATAAAGAAAGAAAGAAAGAAAGAAAGGAAAAAAGAAAGGAACAAAATGACAAACTTCAGAATAGGAAGAGATCTTCACTAGCCCCACATCTAACAGAGAGCTGGTCTCCAAAATATATAAAGAGCTCAAGAATCTACACATCAACAAACAAAATAATCCAATTTAAAAATGGGATACAGATCTAAACAGAGAATTGTCAATAGAGGAATCTCAAATGACTGAGAAACACTGGAAGAAATGTTCAACATCTTTAGCCCACAGGGAGATGCAAATCCGAACAACTCTGAGATTCCATCCAGTCAGAGTGGCTAAGTTCAATAATATAAGTGACAATTATGCTGGAGAGGATGTGTAGCAAGGTGAATACTCCTCCATTGATGCTGGGAATTCAAACTGGTACAGTCACTATAGAAATCAATATGTCAGTTCCTCAGAAAATTGGGAATTGACATACCTCAAAACCCAGCTATACCACTTCTGGATGTATACCCAAAGGATGCTCTACCATACCACAAGGACACTTGCTCAACTGTGCTCACAGCAGTTTTATTTGTTATAGCTAGAAACTGGAAACAACCTGGATGTCCAACAACTGAAGAATGAAGAAAGAAAATATGTTGTATATACACAACAGTGTATTATTCATTGGTTAAAAACAATAACATCATGAAAATTTCCAGCAAATCAATGGAACTAGAAAAACTGATCCTGAGTGAGGTAACCCAGAAAGGCAAACATGGTATGTACTCACTTAAAGGTGGATATTAGCTATAATGTAAGGGATAACTGTGCTACCATCCACAGACCCAAAGAAGCTATGTAGCAAAGAAGGCTCAATGCAGGGACACATGAATCTCACTGTGAAGGGCAAATAGAACAGACATCACAGGTGGATGGGGAAAAGGTCTGGATTGGGGGATAGGCATGGGAACAGGAAGGATCAGGTTGGGGGAGGATGGAGTACTGGAATAGACAATTGGAATCAGGGCACCTGTGGGATGAGCTGGAAACCTAGTGGAATGGAAACTCTCAGGAATCCATAAAGGTGATCCTACCTAAGATTCCTAGCATTGGAAACTAACCTGGGCTCTTAGGGGCTCACAGAGACTCAACTGCCAACCAGAAAACTTGCATGAGACTGACCTAGGCTCTCTTCCCACATGTTACAGTTGTGTTGCTTGGTCTTCTTGTGTGACTCCTAACAGAGGAAGCAGGGGCTGTCTCTGTCTCTGGTTCCTGTTTTTTGGGACCCTTCCCTGCTACTGGGTTGCCTCATGCAACCTTAATAGGAGAGGAGGTACCTAATCTTACTGCAACTTGATATGCCATGGCTGGCTTATATATGGGAGGTCTACACTTTTCTAAAGATAAAGGAAGAGTGGAAGTGGGGGGGAAGGGGACAGGCTGGGGAGAGGGACTGGGAAGAGAGGAGGGATGGAGGGAGGAGAAACTGTGATTGGGCTGAGAAAAATTATTTATTAAAAAAAAAATAAAATCCTGGAAAGCTTAGGGATGAAAGAGGCAACCTTAACGTAATGAAGAAGTTTACAGCAAGCCCATAGCCAACATCATTTAAACAGAAAAATTCAAAGCAATTCCACTAAACTCAAGAGCAACACAAGGTTCTCCACTCTCTCCATATCTATTCAATATAGTACTTGAATTCTTAGCTGGAGTAATAAGACAACTGAAGGAGATCAAGGAGATACAAATTGGAAAGGAAGAGTCAAACTTTTGCTATTTGCAGATGATATGATAGTATACATTAGTGACCCTCCAAATTCTACCAAGGAGCTCATATAGCTGGTAAACGCCTTAATTGATGTAGCTGGATACAAGTTTGACTCAAAAGGAAATCAGAAGTCCTCCTATACACCAATGATGAATGTACTGAGAAAGAAATCATGGAAACAATACCCTTTACAATAGCCTAAAATGATACAAAGTATCTTGGGGAAACTCTTGTACGACAATAATTTTATTATTTGAAAAAAGAAAGAGAATATATCAGAATATTGAAAGATATCTCATGCTCATGGATCAGAAGGTTTTTTGTTTTGTTTTGTTTTGTTTTTTTAAACAAAGTAAAAAAGGCCATCCTACTAAAGGATTCAATGAAATCCCCATCAAAATTATAACACAATTCTTGACAGATCTTGAAAGGTCAATTCTCAGCCTCATATGGAAAAACAAAAAACCCAGGACCCAAGATAGCTAAACAATCCTGAACTATAAAAGAACTGCAGGAGGCATCACCATTCCTGATTTCAAGCTGTACTACAAAGTATAGTAATAAAAACCACATGGTATTAGCATAAAAACAGACATGTTGATCAATGGAATTGAACTCAAAATCCATACATGACTCACATACCTCTGGACACCTGAGGTTTGATAAACAAGCCAGAAATACACACTGGAAAAAAGAAAGCATTTTCAACAAATGGTGCTGGTCAAACTAGATTTCTGCACATGGAAAATACAAACAGATCCATATCTATCACCCTGCACAAAACTCAACTCCAAATGGATCAAAGACCTTAACATAAAACCAGTGTGATAGACATGAAAGTGGGGAATATTGAATATCGTGAGAGAATATATGAGTTAAGCTTTGGCTTCTTTATCACTCAGAAACATTACTGCCGTTTTTTCCTGGGCAGACTTAATCATCCAGCAGCACGCAGAATGGAGATGAAGATAAAGATAAGTGGAATGAGGAAGAAAAGTCACCCTTAAATCTGGTAAACTGAGCATAGGCAAAGTTGACGTCGAGGGACAGATCACTGAGTCCATCCAGGGATTTGTGATGACTTGTATTTAAGTAGAAACCACTCCAGATGAAGGCTTTTGGGAAGACTTCGGCTTTGGGGTTACTGATCTCCATCACTATTCTGGTGCCTGGTAAGTGTGACATTCTGAGTTTTTTAGGAAATGAAACCATTTTTTCTGGCTAATATTGACTGTGATAATCCTTCTGCCTCAAACTTCTGACTCCTGGGATTACAGTCATATACCTTTGTTGCAGGCTTATCAGGACAGCTTTAACACTCTGCAGGTTGCTTTAAAACGGATTATATTTAATAATCAGGTTTTCTACAAATATTCCATGGAATAGATTATTCTATTTATTGTTATCATTTGAATTTGAAGATGAGTGACAGCCTGAAAAGAAATGTTTTACTAGGCTGCTTGCTTATCTCATCTTTAAGGTTGAGATGTACAAAAAGAAAAAAGAAAAAAAGAAAGAAAGAAAGGGAGGGAGAAAGAAAGAAAGAAAGAAAGGAAGGAAGGAAGGAAGGAAGGAAGGAAGGAAGGAAGGAAGGAAGGAAGGAAGGAAGGAAGAAAGAAAAACCTCTGAGAAGGGAAGCAGTGGGATCCAGGGTAAAGTGTTGACACTGAACTTAGGCAGGAAGGGATAGTCCTCCATTACTGTAAGGGAAAGAGGGACAAGGTGGCCTGGAAGCAGGTCAGCTCATGGACTGGTGTCCTAGTTATGGAGTCTTAAGCATTTGAAGTAAAGCTATTGGAAGTTACTAATGGAAGGAGCAGAACAAGATAAGGACCAGAGTCCATGAAATACCACTACAAAGATGGGACAGGCCAGCCTGCTGGCTAAGGTGGTAGAACTCTTGTCTTAGTTCTGTTTCAGCAGAACTACGACAAGAGAACTAAGAAGACTGACCAATGTGAAAGTAAATTGATTTTTCCTCAAATACAAATTTATCTCCTACTACTTCAAAATGTATAATAAGATAAAAATCGGCCGGACGGTGGTGGCACACGCCTTTAATCCCAGTACTTGGGAGGCAGAGCCAGGTGGATCTCTGTGAGTTCAAGGCCAGCCTGGGCTAGCAAGTGAGTTCCAGGAAAGGCACAAATCTACACAGAGAAACCCTGTCTCAAAAAACAAACAAACAAACAAACAAACAAAAAAAGATAAAAATCTTAGATCTAGTACATCATTAATAATCAATTAAGGAAGCCTGACAGGCCTTTATATGAAATTAATTTAACCTTCTTTAAAAATTTTAAAAGTATAAATGTATGCATTTAATGTATGTTTATTTGTGTGTGTGTCCACGTCATAGCATTCATGTGGGGGCCACAGGACAACTGTAGGAGTTGTTCTCTCTCTCTCTCTCTCTCTCTCTCTCTCTCTCTCTTTAATGTATTTTCCAGAGTTCAAACTCATGTCCTCAGGCTTGGTTGCATGTCTTTACCTGCTGAGCCATCTTGCTGGCCCCTAACCTTCGCAAATGTAAAGATTTGTTTTGAACCCAGTACATAATCACCTTTGATCAACATACCTAGAGCACTTGAAAAAGTATTATTACATTAGAACTGTTTTATAAGTGTCTCTTTGGTCACTATAATCAATACTGTTATTAATATATTCTATGTCTATACTACTTTCTAAAGTTCTGATTATTCTGTTCATTTCTGCGGAAGATGTGTCACAACCTCCATCTATGACCTGGAGCCAACTACGTGTCTCTTTAATTTAGTTAAATTTTGCTTTATGTGGTTTGAAGCTCTGTTACTAGGTATTTACTTCATCATGACAATAAACATTGTACAATTTCAAACGTTTCTAGTAACATTCTTTGTTTCTGAAGAATTTTGTTATTCATATAGACTGTAGTTCCTTTCTTCCCTTATTCTCTCTTCCTATTCCCTCCCTTGGTGTTTTTCTCTGTATAAATTTAGGCAGATTGTTTCATTCAAAGATTTTGTCTGTTTCATCTAGATTATCAAATTTCTTGTCATAGAATTCTTTATAGTAGTTCCCAGTATTCTTTTAATGTTCATTGAAATTCAAGTAAATTCACTTTTGTTATTTGATTTTAGTAACGCATATCTTCTATTTTTTCCTCTTAGTTTGGCTGATTGATTAATTTTTGTAACTCTTCTGATGAGTTGATGGCCAGCTTTACTGATCCCTTTAAAGAATGAGCTTTAGTTTGCTGAATTTCTCTGTCCTCCTGTGTCCACTGATTCTGACTCTAATTTCCCTTCTGCTTATTTTGTGTTTGATTTGTTCTTCTTTTTCTAGTTTCTGGAAGCTTAAGTTTAAATGATTGAATTTTAGATAATTTTTCTTCTCTCATACAAGCAGTCAAGGATAGAACCTTCCCTCTAAGCATTGCTTTTTAGTATTCTACAAGTTTAGATAATTTCTATTTTTACTTACTTCAAAATTCCTTTAAAAATTACCTTAAGAGTTCTTGTACCCTAAATTGTTATTTAAAAATCATCTCTAAAATGCTTGTGGGGTCCATTTACTGTTACTGATGTCTAGTTTAATTTCATTATAGTCAAGGAGTAGTTGTGGTATGATTCCATTCTTTAAAATGTGTTAATATGTTGGGCTGGAAAGTTGGATCAATGGTTCACAGCACAGGCTGCTCTTTTAGAGGACTTGTGTTTTATTCCGAGTATGCACATGTTGGCTAAAAATATTTGTGACTCCAGTTCCAGGGAGTGTATTTTCCTCTTCTGGCTTCTGAGGGCACCAGGAGTGTAAGTGGTGCACATAGAAACATACAATCAATATACCCATACACATAAAATAAATAAAAAATTGTAATATGTGTTTTATGGCTCAGGATATACTCTATGTTCATGAAAGCTCCATATGAGCTTGGAGAAAATATATATTCTACTATAGGAAGTCACCTGTAGAGACATAAATAATATTGAGCTGGTGACAGAGTTGTTACACTCAGTTATGACTTGCCTGATTTTGTGGCTATTGTTGTTTTCTCTCTTTCTGATAGAGGGATGTTGAAATGTCTAGCCTAAAGAAGTATATTTACGTATTTCTTCCACCAGTTTGTAACAGGTTTTGCTTCTTAACTCTCTGTTATATACATACAAGGGATTTGTTCTTGGAGGAGAATTGATGGTGAATTATTCTACAATGCCCATCTTTATCCTTGATATCTTTTCTTGAATTCAAATTTTCTCTATTTAAAATTAATATAATTAGCCACTACCTTTTTTACTCTGTTAGCATAGAATTTGAAATTCATCTTCTATCACATTCAAACATCTGAGAAAGGAAGAGGGATGGTTTCTCAAAGATAGAATTTCCAACAAGAGTAGAAAGAATGTAGAGTTCTGTGTAGCAGTATGTCCACTAAAGTAGCAGAGGCCATGACCTCATTGTTTTCCTAGAGTAGAGAATAAGTATGCTGTAACTGCAAAGATGAACAAAAAATTGGTTAATCACATAATGCACAGATTATTCTGATTGTCAAGTATTCTACAGAATGCAAAAGAGGTAATTGCCAACTGGAATATGGAGCTATGGAACTAGAAGTCAAAGGAGACATGAATTCTCTTTTCAATTCTTCCTTGCATTTCTGTTTTATTTATTTTTTCTTTTTGTTCCCAATAACAAAGTAGGAAATATCAATGAGGAAGGGAGCTAACAGACAAATCATTTTAAATTTTGATTGTAAATTCATTGAAAAAGGGCTCTACATTGTCTAGGTGAGATGCCTACCACACGATCAAAGAAAATTAATTAGAGTGAGGTATATAGAAAAATTTTACCAGATCATCTTAGATGAGGACGTTCACATTGACTAAGGCCATACATGGGGATGTGATTAGGATATGGGGAAATGGAAGGGTTCCCTTGTAAAACATTGTTGGTCAAATGTGTAGATGAATTGCTAAAGGTCTTGTTAATAAAAACTTGGAGTCAGAAATTAGGGTTGAAGCCTGAGAGATCAGAGGAACAGGAAAAGCCACAAGCTAACCTCACCTCATCGACACCTCAGTCTTCAAAAGACCTACTTCCTGTATACACATGCCTATATGTTCTGCTATATCATTTGCTCTCTCTGTCAGGCTACATCACTTCCTCTTCCTGCACAGCTATGTCACTTCCTGTCTGTCTGTACAGACCTCCAGACCTCTATGGTTAGCTAGTGTTGGAATTTAAGGCATGTACACCCAGGCCTCGCTCTGTTCCCAGTGTGGCCTTGAACTCACAGAGATCTCTGCTTCCTGAATGAAAGGATTAAAGGTGTGTGATACCATAGCTTCTATGTTTAATATAGTGGCTGGATTTTTCCTCTGATCCTCAGATAACTTTATGAGGGGACACAGATAAAATATTACCACACAAATGAGTTGTCTTATAAATAAGAAACTACAAATTAATACCTCATAAATGTGAATTTCAAGATACTAATATATTTTCATCCCCAGATGTCAAAAAATCTAATGTTCTATAGTGTTTTGGATGAGTAATTTTAGTCAAGGTTAATGGTTATCTATTATGTTGAATAAGACTTCGTTGAGAAAGAAGATTTTTACTCTATATGAATATATAAAATAGATTTCTCTTTGTTAAATATTTTCTAGATTCAAGTTGTTCAAGTAAGGGAAAGGTGCAGGAGCCAGGGGGTTATCAGCCGCCTGAGCCATGGGATTATCAGGTGCAGGAGCCATTGGATGATCAGCTGCAGGTGCCACTGGATGATCAGCTGCAGGAACCACTTTTCTCATATGGTAATATCTTTCCATATATAGTGGCCATCACAGAAGGATATGGGTCTTGGTTAGAAAAGTAGCTGGTACACTGGGTGCAGTATTCCAGCCTTTCTCTTAGTTGGAGCAGCTAGAGGTCTAAGTGCTGTGCTGTGACAGGTCCTGCTAGTTGTTTCACAAACAAGGAGCATCCTTGTTTTCCTCCAAGCCTTTGTAAACTTGCAGTGATGGAAAGACCATGGGTGTCTTAGTTACTGTTCTATTCCTATGAAGAGACACCATGACCAAGGCAACACTTATAAAAGTAAGCATTTAACTGATGACTTGCTTACAGTTTCAGAAGTTTAGTCCAATCACTCATGGTGCTGGAGAAGTAATTGACAAATACATCCTGATCCACAGGGGGGAGAGAGAGAGAGAGAGAGAAAGAGAGAGAGAGAGAGAGAGAGAGAGAGAGAGAGAGAGAG